CCCCCCCCCCCCCCCCCCGTCTAGAGTTGAACTTTTGTCTAACAACCTCAACAGAATAATGTAGCTGAAAGAAGGAACAGAACCCTGAAGGAAGCAATGAGAACCATGCTAGCAGAAGCTTCCTTACCAAAGAGGTTCTGGGCTGAAGCTGTTAACACAGCCTGCTAAATAGGAGTATGATTTATAAAAGGCACAACAAAACTCCCTATGAACTGTGGAACGGGAGAAAACCTAATATATCATATTTTCATATTTTTGGGAGCAAATGCTTTGTATTAAACAACGGGAAGAATCATCTGAACACTTTTGATGCGAAATCAGATGAGGCTATCTTCCTAGGATATTCCATGGTAAGCAAGGCATTCAGAGTCTTCAACAAAAGAACCATGATCACTGAAGAGTCAATACATGTTATTTTTTATGAAAAACATGTGATTGACAAACCATCAAAGCATGATCATGAGGTTCTGGATCTATCAGACAAGGATGAAGAAGTCAATGAAGAAGATAGAATGAAGCCCACGGAATTCATTCCATTCAGAAGTTTGCCTCTGAAGACTTCACAGAGAAATCTGGATTCAGACAATGCTGAGCCTTCCGGAAATTCTGGCCAGCCTTCCAATATTCCGGATCTCTCAATCTTGGTTTGTTGAGCTTTTGATTTAATTTTGAACAGTGTAATTTGTAGTTTTAAATTTTATAGGAGGTACCAATTTGTAAATAAAATCATTTTAAAAGATATGAGATTTTGCTAAATTGGGACGGAGGGACTATTATATGTATTGGATTTGATTTTTGAATTTAATTTTTTCCTATTGCCAATGGAAAATAACCGTTTCTTCTTTTTATGATGTTTTTGGCAATAATTATTGCCATGCATCATGGGTCGAAGTGTCGAACATCTATGGCCTCTCTGTTGATAATGTTAGATTGTGCAGCTCTAGACCCTTAGATCCTAACGGAGTTGGGATTAAATATGGGTTTGCTTTTTTGCTAAAAATTTCATTGTATATCATGTTCATCTTGTTTTCTATTACTAACACTACATATTTATTGTTAATAGGCTAAAAATTACTTTAAGAGAGCATTGCGTTAGTTTGATGTATTTAATTCTACATCACTCTTTATCTAACATTTTGTCATTTCTCTTCAGTTTTTGTTGGAATCGTCATCATTGAACAATGGCAACCTCTGGTATGTGATTCTTCCTTTTGTGCTCTTTCAATATATCAGGCTAGCCACTTTAAAGTGTTTATTGGTTTATAAATTAATTTTTTTTAATTAGGTCTCATGATCAAAGCGGAGAAAGTATACTGAAACCATCAGAATTAGTAGAATTCTACTCAATTTTTATCGGCCGTAAAAAAATGGTGGCATTGAACATTTTTGGCACTGTTGAAGTATCTATCAATAATAATACCCACTACTTATTCAAGAGTAATAGTAATGATGGTGCGGAAGTAGAAGATTCACAGAAAGTTTTACCATTGAACGTTACATGTACGAGTTTTGATGATTATGGCGTGCTCGAATTGAAGGTCAATCTGGAAGATGTTTGTGGGAAATTTCAGAATAGAGGTTTTGCTACTTATGAGCTTGGATTTAGAAACCATGATTTATGGTATAACACCCATATATGTTCTGTTTTCCCGGGCAGATATGGGTTTTGTGCGTTGCATTACTCCTTGTTCCCAAGAGCTTGTCTAGCAAACATTGAGATCATTTTGAAGTGTAAGAGTTTTCGTTCCGGACTTGAGAGGATCTATGGAACAACTTTGACTACTCAACTAAGTTCAAGAAAGACTATTTTAGGAGCGTGCTTTTCAAAAGGGCTGAGAAGGATCCAGTACCATTAAAGAATGATGGGAAAGTGCCACTTTCTCGAAGTGTTGTTGCGGTGCCAATGGATTTGTCACTCATTATTGAAGTCGATTTTTGTGGCATGTCTATGAAAGATTTTCAATCATGCACAGGAACGTTCGAGATTGGACATCGCACCTTTAAAACAGAGACGAATGATTATGAAGTTGAGATGAAGTTGACTTGGAGTGAAGGTAAGTACTTGTATATTTGTTTGTTGTACTTTGCTTTTTAGATTCAGTTATTTGGTTTATAAGAATATGTCCCAAACCAAATCAGTATATGCCTGGTCTCTCAAGTCGTTGGGTCCTGCATTTGATTATTTAATAAAAAGTGATAGAATACTAAGACATTGAGTTGAATTACCAAATTGATTTGTTTAGTGTAGGTCAATTGAGGAGACTCTTATAGCCCTGTCGAGTACTTCCAACCATAACGATTACAATGGTTACAATTCTAAGAATAAACAATTCAAAGAATTCAACCATAATGATTACAATTGTGAAACATTTTCATTTGATTACCCTTACCAAATATTTCATTTTACGCAAATAAAATTGCCTCATATTTTTTCACATAGTCTAGAACAAATGTAGCATTCAATGATGCCTATGACCATTGATTGACGATTTTTTTTAAAGTAGCTGTACAAGGTAACTAGCGGAACTTTTTATGTAAAAGTGCTTCCGAAATGTTGGTGTTGCTTCTTATGTTCAAAGAAGTTTTGGACATGAAATGAATAAAGTGTCTAATACAAGCACCCTCTTGAGGCTTGGTCTGCTCTCCGTGAGACATGGTCTGTCTGTATTTTGACTAATTAAGAAGCCATATTTTGACGACAAAGCGATAACAATAATATTGAATCATGCAAGTTAAGGAATCATGATTCATTGCCCAACATATTGGGTTTGCGGTTGATGCTTTTATCTTTATTGTTGATGCAGGATTGCGCTATGGGTTGGGTGGACTGGATCAAGACATGGTATTTCATTCTTTAATTACAATATTTTTTTGCAAAAAGAAGTCCAACATGTATTTAGTCATAAAATTATAAAACATAATGCAGTGAAGATAAATAGCATGAGTAATAAAAATTAATGAAAAATGTACACGAGTACTCCCAAGTGTGGACTGTCTTGCACACTTCTAGAATAAATATTGCACAAGAATACTCTCATGAGATAACCCATGTCACAAAAAAGCTTCAATGATAGCAAAGTTCATGCTTTCATTACATCTATGCTGTTTTGGATATTTCATTTGTGACACCCCACAGGTGTGGCCACATCTTCCGAGCATTTTTTACATGTTAGTTCTGAGTGTTATTGTAAGACGGTCCAAATTGCAGAGTATTCATTTGTATTTTTTTTATTTTCCCTCTTCGACTTTACATGAATCTTTAGAAATTCAAATTGTGTGGTTGATAGTTGTTTAGGAATTAAATGAAAATGGGAGATACATAAAGGATACCTGAAGAGAGAAAAGTAGGGATAACTCATGTCCTAACTAATGGGAGATTCATCATTCGTTAATGCGGTGGTATAAACTTGGTGCGGACAAAGAGCCGAATCAGTATACTCATGATAGAGCATAAACTGCATAATCTTTGGAGCATTTTTATTGACACAGATTGTGAGATTATCGCTTGGTAGTATTATTGTGCGATATATGTTATAGGAGTGTTTTGGGAGTATTTTTGTTAGAAGGTCCTAACTTCTGAGTTGTTCATCCAACAAATTACAGTACACAATTGGGTGGCTCTCTTAGTATATGTATATTTTGATTTAGAAGCATTTATTTGATGGCTATGTGATAACAATAATCTTGGAAAAATCCAAGATAAAGAATCCCGATTTATTACACAACATATTGGGTTTGCTTTTGATGTTATCATTATTGTTGATTCAGGGTTGCAGGATGGATGGAGTGAATCAGGAGAAGACAGGGTAATTCATTTTTCAATGGTAATATATATGCACATGCAAAATGAAGTCTAACAACCGAAGAGTGTGAAATATATAAAATGACGTGGAATAAAATAATAATTAAAATAAACGAGTTTGATGTATTCAATCATTCCACAATTATCTTTAAACCTCAATCGTTGTACTCAACAGTAGAGAAGGTGAAATGGAATTTTTTTCCACCTGTGAGAACTTGATGGATAAAAACAATGTAACATTTTGCAGGATCGGCAAATCTTGAGTCTTGACAGTCATTTCATTACTATCATCTGAAATTCTTTTTGTTTACTTACATTTTATGAACTTCCGACCATCAAGTGAATTAGGGTTGCAAACTTCTTGACTCTTAAGACCTCATTGAGTTGGGATTATACTCGGGTTGTTTTTTTTGTATTTAAAAATTAAATATAGGTATAGATGCACTTGTTTGTTACCTTTTTTGCTTTTGGTAGAAAACAATTGAGGTAATTATTTGTTGGGCTGTGAATAAAGTAATAAACCTCTGAGGATAACTCTTTGTTGCTAATTCAATTTTTTGCCTTTTCAAGCGTCAAGCGTAAACAACCTGATCAGCGCAACGGAGGGAGGGATTTAGATGAAGCCGAGGTAAATGAATTGGCTGGCTCTCATCTGTCTGTATTTTGACTAAAGCATTATTTTGATGACAAAGCAGTAACAGTAATCTTGGAAAATGCAAGATAAAGAATCATGTTTCATTGTACAATGTATTGGGTTTGCTCTTGATGATTTTGTCATCACTGTTGATGCAGGGTTGCAGGATGGGTGGAGCGAATCAGACGAACACAAGGTAATTCATTCTTAATTGTCTAAATGAGTTGAGTCATAAAAGGAAGTTTAAATGAGTTTAGTCATAAAACTACACGGTGTAAAATGATAGTTAAAATCAATAAGTTTGATGTATTCAATCATTCCACAGTTAACTTTAAACTTCAACTCTGGTTACTCAACCAGTCAGCGAAAGTGAATTAGAATGGATTGTGAGAATTCGATGGATAGCGATTTACGGAGTAGCATTTTGCAGGGTTGGTAGCTCTTGGGGCTTGACGGTCATTTTATTTTTTCCATTTGAAAATAAAATGGACTAAATCAAAATGGCACGTAATACTTGTTACATTTCATGAAGTACCAAGCATTAAGGGTCTGTTTGGTTGGGGGTAGGGGAAGGAAAATGAATCCCTCCCATTGTTTTCTTCATTTCCTTTACTTTTCTCCATCTCCATCCCCATAACCAAACGGGTGGGGGGGGAGGGGGGCTCCTTTTGCATCCCCTCCCTCCCACCCCAAACCAAACAGTTCCTCATTGAATTGGGCTTATACAAGGGTAATTTTTGTTATGTATTTATACGTATAAGGTGTAGATGCACTTGTTTCCTGTAGTAGAAAAAACAATGTAATGGCTTTTCTTGCATCGTGGTGTGATTGTTGGGAAGTTACTGAACCTATGAGGGTATTCTCCTCATGCTAATTCTTTTTATATGCCTTTTCAAGCGTCAAGAGAAAGCAACCTGATCTGCGCTATGGATGTAATGGTTCAGACGAAGATGAGGTAATTCGTTCTTCAAATGTGATGAAGTTTTGCAAAAAGTAGTTGGACATGTGTTTAGACATAAAATTATAGAACACTATATAGTGAAGGTAAATAATACGAGTAATAACAATTAAACTTGTGACAAAGGATAAACTACGTGTTATTTTTTGGATCAATCTTGTGACTACACGAGAGTATTATTGATTTAAGAGTATATTGGGGGTGCTATGTTAGAAGTTTGGAGAGCAGTCGTCCACATTTTTTTTTTCTTCAAAAAATTGATAAATTACATTTGCAGGTGTTACCGTGCGACTATGCTTTCGGATCAATGCCTACTGATGTCGCCATTCTGAGCCACCCTACTTCGATACCCTTCTAACTTTGCTGCTCTAATCGATTCGAAGTATAAAAACCAAAACCTTTGCAGGGTGGCATTTATGGATGGGCTGCAATAGCAATTGCAGTTAGAGACCTTTTGCATGGTGGTATTATTTATGGATGGGTTGCAATCGCAATATGACCTTTGCATAAAAGGCCTAATTTGTGTATTTATTAAATTATGACATTGTGCGACAACCAGATATTTACATAATGTGTTTATTGTGCATTGTCCTCTCTTATCCAAACATATGCTATTCCGTGTATCACAGTATTAACTCCTAAACTAGTTTGAAGTTCTTCAATCCAGTTTACTTCGCGTAACGAATTTTGGATGTCATCATTTTGTAAAATACTCCCTCCGTATGTACTTCGATTTCTTCGAATCAAACAAAATAAACTTTGAACTTTAATTAAATAAAAATTGTCATATATATTAGTATGAAAATGATTTTATTAATTTTTTTATGAGAAGTTTCATCATTTTATTTTACTGTACTAACATGCAATACAAATTAAGAGTTATAGCTCAAAGTTTAAATTTTTATCTTATTATACTAACATGTAATACAAATTAAGAATAATTAAGGTTTGAAGTTCATACAATTTAATTCAAAAAAATCAAATTAGACAAATATACTGAAACAAAAATAGTTATCCTCTATACTATGTGTCATCATCAATTTTATTGTTTCATAAACAAATACAGTAATTGGGGATTTAGGATTAACAATACAATAAATAAATAAAAATTAGAGTATTCAAATGCTTTAAAATCGATTCTGTAGAATTATAATTCAATTTCAATTCTTTCACTTCTGTTTACCACTACCTAATCACTTCACCTCATCTATTTCGTTTCACACACAGATTCAATGATATAAACCCACAACTAAAAATCAATCAATATACCAAAGTCACACCACCTATTATACTCAAGAATAAGAGAATAAATCATTACAAATCATCTCATTCAAGAAAAGGAGTATCTAGAAACAAGAGAAAATGGTGCTGGGCAACAATAAAAAGAAAAAAAACTGAAGGATGACACATATCCAATCTAGACTATGAGCTGTGATGCCTGGAAGTATGGAGACTATAAACTACGAGGCATTTCAGTAGGGCAGATAACTCTATTTCTTCTTTCTACAGGACCTATGTGCGATACTTGAACCTCCAATGAATCTCAATTCCAATAAACGTTTGGCAATTAATTAAATTCAGACATTTAGTGAGCCAGGTAGTGAATTTGGCTAGGTAATTAATTCTGTCGGGTAGTCAATTAGTGAAGTGAAGAAAAATATTGCTAGAAAAAAGTTTGCAGTTATTTTTAGGGTATTAGAGCATCTCCAACCACACTTGCTAAGCATGGCTTGCTAAACTCTTTTTTAGCATGTAAATTCTGGTATAGCAAACCATTTTGCATTATCATGTCCAACCTTTCCTTGCTATAATTTAGCTAAAAAAATATATTATAATTGTTTTCACTACTACACTATTTATAACAATTTTTAAATTATATTATTTTATATTATAAAAAGTAAGTAATAAGCATGTAATTTAAATATAATAATTTTAATTTTTTTTACTTTAGGTAAAATAATAAAATATACTACGTATTAATTTAATTATTTAATAAATATCAAGTAAAGAGTAGATAAAAAATAAAAAATTAGAAAGTAGAAGTACCAAAATATTTTGAGAAGAGAAAAATGAGAGAAGAAGAGAGAAATTAATTATTTTATTAATATCATAGCTTGTTATATTTTGAGAGGCTTGCTTTATATAACAAGCCAAAGTTAAAATAATGCAAGTGTGTTATAATATAGAAAGCCCCTTGGAGCATAAAAGTTGACATGACTTGCCAAATTATGGCATTTAGCAAGTCAAAACCTAATGGTTGGAGATGCTCTTAGAATCCAAAATTCACTTGCTCTACGGTTCTATACATACTGCATTTACTAGTATTTAACATAAGTATATTACTCCCTTCGTCCTATAATGATCTTCCCGGTTCGCAAAACGAAGAAAAATCTCAAGTTTTTTCAATATACAAATTAATTTTTTAATATACAAATTACAAGATAAAATTGATTAAAGAAATGCATTGGATGGTGTGTCAAAAAGTAAGTCGACAAACATAGTGAGACAGAGATAGTATAAATTTCAATAGTTTTGTCTCAAGCATCCGATTTATGTAACAATGAGTACATCAAAAGATGAATTGCTAGAAATAAACTCTACAAATATTCAACATTCATCATTTAATGATTAAAATCAAGGAAAAATGAAACTACAATGCGAAACAATGGAGATGAACAGAAGAACAACTAGACTATTAAAGATAAGAAATGGCTTAGGCAGCTTTCACAACTTGCTTAAAGGTAGAGGGGGGCTGCCAAATCAGCGCTGGTCATTGTCGTTTTCTTCTTGATGATCTTTGCTAAAGCTAGTGGCCCGTTCTCCTCCTCTTTGTTGGTTACAACTAGCTCATAGGTTGCTGGGTCTTTGTTTACATCATTGTCCAAGGTGATGATCCCAACTTTATCAACTTGCATAGCGGTGGAGGTGCATGGTTCCAACGAGCAGATCACCATTTCCGTCCACAACAGCTTGTTTGCTTCTCAAATTCTTCCCATTCTTCTTCTTATTCTGTCCCATTATTATAGTTCAAAGGCACCGAAACCAAAGCAAAATACAGCAGTTCAAGGACGAGAACAACACACAGCAAGCACATCAAGCAACAATAATCTCAAGTAGCAATAAATTCCAGTAAAAACACCATAAAAGTGAGAAAATAAAGGATTGTGAATCAGTCATGGGAATCACCCAAAAATAACACTAGATAGAGGAGTTAAAAGCTAATACGCATTGGACCTCTTGCGCTGTGAACAATGCTCGAATTCCGAGATTTTGTAGGGGAAATCTCCCTAGAAATCTTTTTCGTCTTGGTGGTATCCTTGTAGAGATCTTCAAGATTGCAGGGGCAAAGTTTGTTCAATGGGAGGACCTTTCCCGTGTACTATTCAATGGAGTAACATGCATCATTCTCATACACTTCAGACGTGCATCATAGACTTATATTTAATATAGAGTATTCTTGTAAAGAGTAAGTCAAAACTATTATTTCTTTTAATATGGAGTAATAGTTTAATTGAGATGAACCACACTCTGTTAATAATAGACTGACCATCTCTTCTTCAAGTACTTAAGGGGAATGAATCCCTCATCTCCCACTTCGACCTTTCTAAGGGGAATCCCCTCAGTTCTGTCTCGGTTATTTCCAGTTGGCAGTGGCATGGTTTTTTGACCTCAGCTTTGGCCTCTAAAGATATTAGAAGCAAGTGTTTGGCGAAGCCTCCCAAAACTCCTCATTATCTGCTTCGTCCCAAGTGGATGTCAAAGAAGAGTATCCAATCTGGTTCAAAAACTCCTACTCACGGGCATCAATGTGAGCTACAGACGGTTCAACGCCACCGGTAGAAGCCTTTGCACCAGACCTAAGCCTAACAGACTCACTCAATGGGGTTCCCTAAAAGATAAATTTGGTGATTTTATGGCTGGTACGGTGTTCTTCTTGGCCTAACCCTTGTTTTTCTCCCCCATAACAATATCCAAGCAATTCACAAACACAATTGCAGTAATAGTCCACAAGTACACAGCAAGAGCAGCAAGAGTGAAGAACACAAACAACAACAAATTTGAGGGTTTTCACCACACAAAATGAGAATCAATATGTAGAGAAACACTCTTGAAAGTCACCCAAGATATACACCAGAAAGAGGAATAAACACCAATAACCTGCGCTGGATTGGTTTACTCACTAGCGTTGTCAACAGTGCTGCGAATTCTAATCTCAGCGAAAATCAGGATTCTTTGTTTGGAATGATATACAAAATTTAGAATCTAAATAGGCTTAGCAGGTCGCTCATAATACCTCAAAATTGGCCTTCAATTTGAGAAGAAAAAAAAACAGATGAATTCGGACCTTCGAAGCATGAAGATGAATAGTGAATGCGTAGGATTTCAATCTGCAATTGACCTTGATTCAGCCCCAAATCTTCAGCGGAAATCTCATATTATGAAAAGGCTTCTGATTTCGCACTAAAAGAACAAAAAATTAGCCAAAATGATCCACAAATTCAATTGGAATCTCAATTTGAAGGGGGCGCACAAACTTTTCTTCCAGCGTCGCACACCTAGAGAGAGAAAACAATGAATGAGAGCTCAGTAGAGATGGTGTCGATTATCAAAGATGGGGGAGATGGCGTCGATTACAGAAGATTGGGAGGGGGAAGATGTCGTTGATTGGAGATTGGGGAGAGAGGGCATCGGTTACTGGAGATGGCGTCGGCTTCTGAACGTATTTAATTTGAGAGCTCTTCACCGATTTGCATCAAAAGAGGTAGCGGCCCTTTTCTTATCCGGTGTTGAAACGTATACTACTTGTAATTAGAGTGGTGATTTTTAAAGAATAAACAGTGGTTCTAATTTAGTAGTGAATTGTGCTAAATAAAAAAAAATATAAAATTTTTCAAATCATTTTATTTTAAGATTGATATAGAATTTAGAAATATATTTTTCATATTTAAAAAGTAATAAAAAATTTTACAAAACAAGAAATAATAATAAGAATGTTTTATTTTAGAAGAATTTACCTAAATGATACTTAAAACATAGTTAATGATTTTTCAAATGTAGCATCGTACCATATATTTTTATTTTACAATGTAGTGCCCCTAGTCATTGTCTATTGGTCATTGTTCTAGTAAATGTGAAGTGTCATTAGATATTGCGCAAAATAAATGATTTCCACCACTAAACATTATTCAAGTACATTTTAGAGACTAAAAATATTTAAGTACTACATTGAGAAAATGAAATGCATTTAGTATTATTTAGTACTCGATGAAAATATACAAATAAATACTACCACATTCTTGAAGTATTTATCTACTTTTAACTTTTTGCAATCAAAATTAATAAATTTTTACCATTAAATAAATAAAATTTATAGTATACATTGATAAAAGAATTGTTTTATTAGATTTCTCTTGTAAATATTTTCAAAATATTATTTTATACAATTAATATACCATGTAATTTCATATAATTATAAATCAAAAGTCAATTCTAATTTATTGTAAGAAATTAAAATTAAACAAAAAAGTCTAAGATGAAAAGAATAAAATTTATCTTGATTTATGAATAGTGCACCCTGTAACTTTTTAGACCGAGGGAGTTAGGGGTGTGCACAAGTAAGCCGACGTGACCAAACCAATATTGAAACCCTAAGCTTCGCCGCTTAGGAGTGCGACCTCGACCTTCGTCTTCCCGAAGCCGCAAAGCACGGCCGGAGTAACATTTTGTGTGCCTTTACTTACTCTATTGAAACCCTAAGCCCTTCTCCACAGCCATGGCGGACGTGAAAATCTCAGAGATGCGAGACCTAACGAGAATAGAGCGCATCGGCGCTCACTCCCACATCCGGGGTCTCGGACTGGATTCCGCCCTCGAGCCACGAGCAGCCTCCGAAGGCATGGTGGGTCAGACCTCTGCGCGTAAAGCCGCCGGCGTCATAGTGAAGATGGTCCAGGAAGGGAAAATCGCAGGCCGAGCTGTCCTCCTTGCGGGCCAGCCTGGAACTGGCAAGACGGCAATTGCTATGGGCATGGCCAAGTCATTGGGCCAGGAAACCCCATTCGCCATGCTCGCCGGAAGCGAGCTCTTCTCCCTCGAAATGTCTAAGACTGAAGCTCTGATGCAAGCGTTCAGGAAAGCAATCGGAGTGAGAATCAAGGAGGAGGCGGAGGTGATTGAAGGCGAGGTTGTGGAAATTCAAATTGATCGTCCTGCCGTGGCCGGGGCTGCTTGTAAGACTGGGAAATTGACCCTTAAGACTACGGATATGGAGACAGTGTATGACTTGGGGGCAAAGATGATTGAGGCCCTTGGAAAGGATAAGGTACAGAGTGGGGATGTTATTGCCATTGACAAAGCCTCTGGGAAGATAACTAAACTCGGGAGGTCGTTTTCGCGGTCTAGAGACTATGATGCCATGGGTCCACAAACCAAATTCGTGCAGTGCCCGGATGGCGAGCTGCAAAAGAGGAAGGAGGTGGTGCATTGTGTTACGCTTCATGAGATTGATGTTATCAATAGCAGGCAAGTTTTTTTCTTGGCTAATATCGTGAGTTGGGCTCAGTTTGGTTGCCTTTTATAGCTGATTCTGCTCGTAAGTTATTCGAATAAGCATAATAAGTAGCTTGTGACTTATTTATTTAGCATGAAAGGATAATACCATGCATTGTTCTCTATGAAAAATTGACAGAATCAACAGCTTCTAATATCTTGTTATTTGTTCATCCAAAGTGACATTCTTTTTGGCTACGTATAAAACTCGTATAATGGAAAAGGAAAGAAGCTCCAGAGAAAATGGTGTTTTCGTGTCTTGTTATATCTTGGAAAATACAAATGAAAAGCCAAATTTGGGTTTGAACCTACTCTCTGCTTCCCTTTAAAAAAATCAAAATTTCCCTTTTATTTCCCACATTTTCTCCATCTTTTTTCCTTATTCCAAACACAACTTTAGTGATGTTTCTGGTTAGATATTAGTACAAATATATGAAATAGTGTGGCCATTGGTCTTGACTTTTATAATACCTCTTGTGAAGTTACGAACTATGTTTCCTCCAAATGGACTTTTCTGTTATTAGTTTCTCTCGTCGTTAGGTACCTTTATCTAATGAACGAGCGTTACTCATTAGTCCAAGCTTTTATTTGCAAAATTACATATAAGAATAAGTGCATATTTACTTGTCTTTTTTTATATATAGCTTAGCCCATCAATGATAGGGACCTAGACCATTGCACTTTCATAAAAATGTACTCCGTACCAATAAATATAAAAGAAGTCTGTTTCTATTTCCTTTCATTCAAGTTAAATCCTTCTATGGTGGAATTCCTCTCGGTTCACTAGTCTCCTACTCTTCTATCTTCATTTTTCCAGATGTTCATAGTTTGACTTGCAATATGCTACACCATAACATTTAAACATTGAGTGTAGTTCACTTCGCTTGGAAACAACTTCTGTCATTGATTTATTTGCTTGGAAACAAACTGTTGACTCATACATCTATTTGCTTCTGTTTAAGTGTTACTTTTACTTGCTTGTGCCTTATGGACAAGAATGCAGTAGAGTTGATGCTAGAATTTATTCTTCGCTAAACTGTATGATTCAATTGTTTCTGTATCAATTCTAGAACGCAGGGATTTCTCGCTCTTTTCACTGGGGATACAGGTGAAATTCGAGCTGAAGTGAGGGAACAAATCGACACAAAAGTTGCAGAGTGGAGGGAAGAAGGAAAGGCAGAGATTGTTCCCGGGGTCCTCTTCATAGATGAAGTCCACATGCTCGACATTGAATGCTTTTCGTTCCTCAACCGCGCTCTGGAAAACGACATGGCGCCCATACTGGTTGTTGCCACCAACAGAGGGATTACAACAATCAGAGGCACAAACTACAGATCGCCGCACGGGATTCCCATAGACTTCCTTGACCGCTTGCTTATCATCTCCACACAACCCTACTCGGAAGAAGAGATTCGCAAGATTCTCGACATCAGAAGCCAAGAGGAGGACGTGGACATGTCCGAGGAGGCAAAGGTATTGTTGACAAAGATAGGGGTAGATACGTCTTTGAGGTACGCTATTCACCTCATCACCACGGCTGCACTTGCTTGTCAGAAGCGCAAGGGAAGGACCGTAGAAATGGAAGATGTGCGCCGAGTGTACGAGCTCTTCTATGATGTGAAACGGTCAACACAGTATCTCATGGAGTATCAGAGCCAGTACATGTTCAGTGAAGCCTCCATGGGAGATGATGCAGAGGAAGAAGAAACTACTGCAATGATCTCATAGCATAATGATTTCTCATGCATATAATCTTCTAGCTAAGAACAGTTTTGGGGTACTAGAACCCTAGCAAACAATCCTATTTTATTTTGTCTTCCATGTTTAAATTTCGGGGCATGTAAGTTTCCATGGAAGATACCTGGTTTTTGGGTTGTTCTTAGGGTCTGTTTGGGAGCAATTTCAATGTTTTGAAAAGATTATCTAATGACGGTGTGTAGTTTTAGTGTTTCAAAGTTAATTTGCACCATTTAAAATTTATTTAAAATGCTAAAGATGACCTTTGTTTTGTTTGCAGTAAAAGTCCACTGAGTATGTGATGGGGACTGATGACAAGTATATAAATTGATTGTTCTAAAGTAAAGATTTCTTACAAACTTCCCCTATGTAATATTAAGGGCCTGTAATATTCTTCGTCTGCCAATTAAATATACACTTTTGTTGTGTGTTTCAGAATAAAATTCATACTTTCTTACCTCTTTTCAAAACCCAAAAAGGTATATATACCCAAGACTAATGAAGCTATATTTTGGGGTCAAGGCATTGCATTGGATGTTGTGCCAAAAGGTAAGTAGACAAAGAGAGTGAGACTGATGGAGTAAATAATTTATTTCTCCATTTTTTATAGATTGATTATTTAAATTAAGCGCCTTGGCTCGGCCCGGATCCCGACCCGGCCCGTCGTTTGATCATACAGAACGGAAGAGAGTACAAAGGAACAGCAGCAGCACACGTGTCCGTTACAGAAATGCGGGCCCCACCCCCATCACACGTCAGCGAGCGCACGTTGAAAGTCATTCAAAAGCTCCGCCACTCCCCCAGCCCTCACCATATCCATGAGTGATGGGACCCCGAAAAATCCGCCCGCATTTCGCGTCCTTTTCTCCCTCGCTCGCCGCCAAATCCCATTCTAAATTTAGCAGTGCCCGGCCAGTACGGCTCTAACCGCCGCCGCGCACTGGCCGGCTTTCCGTCATACCTTTACCGCCCTTAAAACGGCGCTTCCCCACTCTGTTTTTGTCCCAGAGTGAGAATAATTAAAAATGGCTTCTTTATTCGGTTCAAGAAACCGGAGCAGAGCTTCGGCGCTCTTCTCCGACGCCATCCTCTTCGCCGGCGGCTGTCTGGCGGCTCTCGTCGTCGTCTGGGCCCTTTGGTGTCTCCTGGCCCCGGGCATCACCGCCGGATCTAGTTTCTTCTCCGGCGCCGGTGCTGTCCCGAGGAGAAAGTACGCGGCTGTCGCCGCCGGCTGCAACGAGTCCGCGGCGGCGGCGGGGTTCGACCGGACCCACGAACCGGCCGACCCGAATTTCTACGACGACCCGGATCTGAGCTACACGATCGACAAGCCGATCAGGGACTGGGACGAGAAGAGGGTGGCGTGGCTGAGGCAGCACCCGTCGTTCATTCCCGGGTCGGAGACCCGGATTCTGATGGTGACCGGATCTCAGGCGAAGCCGTGCCGGAACCAGGTCGGCGATCACCTCCTCCTCCGGCTGTTCAAGAACAAGGTGGACTACTGCAGAATCCACGGGTACGACATCTTCTACAACACCGCCCTCCTCCAACCCGAGATGTTCTCCTTCTGGGCGAAGGTCCCGACGGTGAGAGCCGCCATGCTGGCCCACCCAGAAGCAGAGTGGATCTGGTGGGTCGACTCGGACGCCGCCATCACCGACATGGATTTCAAGCTCCCCTTGTCCAGGTACGCCGCCCACAACCTCGTAGTCCACGGCTGGAAGAGCCTCATCTTCGACCAGAAAAGCTGGACCAGCGTCAACGCCGGAGTCTTCCTTATCCGGAACTGCCAGTGGGCAATGGACTTCATGGACGTGTGGGCCAGGATGGGCCCACAGTCGCCGGAATACGACAACTGGGGGAAGATTCTCCGGACCACATTCAAGGACAAGTCCCGGCCCGAATCCGACGACCAGTCGGGGCTGATCTATCTGATCCTAACGGAAAGCGAGAAATGGGGGAAGAAGATCTACGTGGAGAGCGACTATTACTTCGAGGGGTACTGGCTGGAGATCGTGGGGAGGCTGGAGAACGTCACGGCGCGTTACGCGGAGATCGAGAGGCGGGAGGGGCGGCTGAGGCGGCGGCACGCGGAGAAGGTGAGCGAGAGCTACGCGGCGGCGTGGGAGGAGCACCTGAAGGACGCCGGGTACGGGAAGTTCGGCTGGAGGCGGCCGTTCATCACCCACTTCACCGGCTGCCAGCCCTGCAGTGGGGACCACAACCAGGCGTACTCCGGCGAGGTCTGCGGCGACTCCATGCACAGGGCCTTGAATTTCGCGGACAATCAGGTGCTCCGCAGGTACGGGTTCCTGCACCTGGATCTACGGGACACCGCCGCCGTTGTGCCCGTGCCGTTCGATTATCCGGCCTGAGATTTGAGGGAAAGCTGGGGGATTTTATTGGGTGTTTGTGAATGATTATTGTTCTTATTATTATTATGACTTATTTTTCCATTGTTAAATAGTACCATTAATAACATTGTCATTGTACTCCCTGGATGTCAAGAGTGTGATTCGACATGCTCAACAACTGTCTTTTCTGCAAGAAAATACTCCGTATTTCATTGTACTCCAGAATTTTTTCCCATTGTTAAAAAAATCATTAGATACATCAAAATACCAAATCTCATTCGTATAGGGTTTAAACACAAATATTTAGTGGGTGTGATCCCTCGTAGTAAGTGTCTGTGATTATAAATACTTAGTGTGTATTTTACCTAATTTACAAATAAGTTGACTTATTTTGGTTTATCTTTGGCATGCATGATCTTAAAAAAATAAGCTCTATCTTTGAGGGTATTCAAAGACCAAGTGGGACGATTATTAAAAAATGATAAATTAAGGATGGTGTATTAAATGTTGATTTTGTAGTATTTTTTAAAAGTTTAAAAGTCTATATGTATTTAATTAAGATTTTTAAACATTTCTAAAAAAAATCTAGATGTATTTTATGAATATTTAAAATATCCGTCAAAGTCCAAAGGTATTAAATGAATGTTCGTGAGGGCGCAGCGGAAATCACCAACTAAGAACTATGCAAACAAAACAATCAACTATGGTGTAGAGAATATGCTGCAGCACTGTCACAGTAACAGATGACGGGCAGGGTGCTATAACACTTCTCTGTCACAAGCACACAGACAGAAGCAGATGATGCAGAGGGTGTTACAGCGCCTACTGAACAGAATACTGTAACTATAAAAATGTGTAAAAAATGACACCAGATATGTTTACGCAGTTCGGAGAAACTCTCCTAATCTGCGGGGCCCATGTCTGTGTAATAACCCTCCACTAAATCACTAGATGCAAGTTACACCGGTACATAACAATATGATGAGACACTCTTCTCCGAATTCGTATGACAAAACTTCTAATCTAGGATTTCTAACCCGAACTCTGTTCAGATCCGATTCGGCTATCACATCTCCACCGAGATCACGAGGACAAACTTGTTGACAACCCACTCGTTCAGCTCTATTTCATCTTCTGGATGTCACGATCAGTTTGGCGTTGAAAAACTCCTCCTTCATGTAGATCGCAACCTTCTTCACGCATGGGAAGCTCCGGGACGCGACGGGAATGTTCTACATCAGCGTATATTTTTTGTTTTCCATCTCAAACGCTCCAAGTAATTCCCAAGGACCTGCTACATTTTTATAGGCTCTTCTTAACACAATCCTAGTAGGAATAGGATAGTAGAAATTGGCTTGAACTCTACTTCCTTAATCTTGATCCACAAGTAGCCTAAAGAGTTGGGATTCCTTAGCATGTACAGCTGGAGTTATTATCATGTAATCGCAATCCCAATAGGTCTCTAATTCAGATTGCAGCTTAAAATCCCGTGCTCAGACCTCTAATCCCGAACAGTGTGTTGCAGCACTGTGTTGTAGCATCTTCTGTGTTAACCTCGAAAACAGCAGCAACTCTAGAAGTCTAAATAAAATAAACCTCTCCTAACAAACAGAGGTTTTTACCTAGTAAAACACCTAACAAATATGGGATTCTATTTTACCAAAAGATTAGCCAACACCATGGAACTAACATTAAAAAGTCTAAAGATTTTCAAAAAAATTAAAAGAAGATTTTTGATTAATTTCAAGGTTCATCATATAAATAGAAGATGACACTATTCAAAACTACGCGCAGAACGATAGCCTCCTACTGTCCGAACAGTACCTCAGTACCATCAGCACGGTAGGCCATACCGCTGGGACGGTAGGCTAGGTACCGAGTCCTCCAAGAAAATTGTCTTCCACTGGCGGTACCTGAAGTCCGACGGTACCCTGTACCTTGGCACGGTACCGAGGTACTGTTAGCCAGTACCAAGGTACCGTGAGGGGTACCGTCCGATCCAATATTTTTCTAAGAAACCCGATTTTTGAACTATTAAATCCTATTTTTGATATCAATCAATTATGATCAATATGATTTCTGGAAATAAAAATGACGTTTTGACAAATTCAAGAACTTTGTTTGATGCATGATGGTAAGCTAGGGTGTTTACACTCGCGCTATGCCGCTACTTGTTAATGAATCTTATGAAGACTATTATTAAATATTTATTATGACTAAACCTTGATAATATTCTGATTTAATGATTATTACAATGGATAAACCATAATGAAACGCCACTGATTAAATATTGATTATAATAATTAAATGGATGACTATGTAAATATGATGATAACGATCTTATTCGGACAAAATAATAAAATATGGTAATGAATGAATAAACTGTAAGAATGAAATTGTGAATAGATATGTTCGTTTGATTATCATGATTTAAATGATGGTTATGAATTAATGACCCGTGTTTCATAATGAATAAATTGATGAGCAAACTCTAATTTGTCTAATTTGTCTAAAAGCTCACCAACAAAGAAAGAAGAAATGAAAAGTTTCCTCTGACTCAAAGACATGAAGTTGTGCCTCACTGCATCATCTAGAAATTTGATTAGGTTATTGAAATAACCGTCAATGTTCAAGAGACCAATGGGTCTATTATGTAACCCTTCAGAAGCCCACGAGATCAAGGTGAACAAACCTTCCATAGTGTCAACTCCTCCAGGAAGAATGATGAAAGCTTCCACGGCATGATTCATCTCAAAATATTTGTAGTAATTGCTGGAAACTGTGTGCTCTACGCCGTATGTAGGTCCGTAGACCCGTCGTGTTGCTATGTACCCAAGAATGAAACCTCTAACGAGACCTCCATTGGTAAAGACTGTTGAAGCAACAACTCCTTGTAGGCCAACGTTGCCTCCTCCATAAGCAAGACTAATTCTTCGCCTTATCAATTCTCTTCCTAAATCTACTGCAGTAGCCATAAACTTTGGATTTCTACCAAGAGAATGACTGCCAAGAAGACCAACGAATCTTATGGTGTAAGGAAGTGTTCGAGAAGTTCCTTCCATAATGTGAGAATGTGAGATACTCTTTCAATAATCGTGATATATATAGTCTTGAAAACCTGACCATGGAAGGAAAGGTAATTATCACCAGCCAAAATATGTACAGTAAATGGACTCAAATTACCTGCATACGAGAACGTACTCGCTAATGCTATAGTCTGCTGACGATATGACGTGTTGAGACTCTTGAACAGTTAGATTCGTTGTCCTAAAACACGTTCAAATCCGAGACGAAAAGTCAAAATGACTATTTCTAAGACATCGAACCCTTGAGTAA